CAATAGCATCACGAATACCCCCCCCCCTTACGTTTAAACCAGAAATTTAACAAAAATGGTTAGGGATTTTACCTGCAAGAATGGGGATGAAGACACACACACACTTTGAAATTTCCCGTCCCAGATAGTTTTGGAGAGTCAAATTGATGGAGATGACTTTCTCTCTCAAGAACCCTCTCTTCCTCTCTCTTATTTGTGTGGAAGATCGTTAAAAATGAGGGGCTGGGGTGTTTTATTAAAAAGGGGGTCGGGTATAAAATTTAGAAAAATAGAAGCCCGAGCAAGATCTGCGGTCGCATTCTGCGATCGCAGGATTGAAATGCGGTCCGCAGATTGGACCGCAGAATTGCCCCCAAAACTCTGAGGAATCTATTTGGGTCTGAAACAGGAATGTGGTCCGCATTCCTGTTATGCGGTCGCATTTTGCACCGCAGAACGGACCTTCACAAATCCTTGAGGAACTTATGCGACAACTATGTGGTCCGCATATTGGTTATGCGATCGCATAATAGACCGCATTTTCAACATTAATTTTGACAACTCTTCTGTTCCACTCTGCGGTAGAAATGCGATCGCATTTTGGACCGCATCTTGACCTCAAGTTTAACCAACCCACTGTTTCTGGAAAATTGATTCTTTTGATTTTTTTTTTAAAAGCTTAGATCAATACCAAGGGTCCGAACCGCAGCGAACCGGCGAGCCGCGAAGAATTCTACACATTCCTAACACATATTCGGAGCCGACACCACAAGTCACTGGGTTTTGAGCCAAAAGTTTTACTGGGCCTCACAGGTCATTTTACCCAATTTCGCATATTAGCTTAGAATATAATTAAGGAATCAGTTACTTGAAGTATTATTTACATTATGCAATTAATTTGAACAGACTTGGGCCATTTGGAGTCGAGTACTCATTGCAAGAGCGTGGTTTCAGGTTGAGTTTGAGCCGGTTCAAGGTAAGTTGATTGCCTAACCTTGTGTGGGAAAAACTCCCCTTAGGATTTGGTTTGTAGATAATTGAAATTCCTTGTACATGAGGTGACGAGTGTGTACTTGTGCTAATTGTTGAAAATCTGTTTTCTTTAAGTAACTATAAATGTGATTTTGTTTTTCCTGTTCATACTGCATGTAATTTATACTTGCTTTTAGCCTAGGGAAGCATGTTTAATTGAATTAATTGCTTTACTTGCTCAAATTGCCTTATTTGGATTATGTGCAGCATGCTAGGCTAGAAATGCCTGTTTCACTTTGGTATTGAAATTTGAATTGAATTGAGTATTCTTTGTGTTGCTATTGTGTTTTTACTTTGGGACTACGGGATGGTATCCCGGGAGATCCCCCTGTATGTTTTTATTGGGACTACGGAATTGTATTCTGGGAGATCCACCTGAATATTTATATTGAAACTACGGGACTACACCCGGTAGATTCCCCCAGTACTAGATATCTACATTAGGGACTATGGATTGGGATTCTGGTAGATCCCCGCGCATTATGAGTTGGACTACGAGACAGCACCCGGGGGATCCACTAGATATTTATATTTGGGGACTACAGGACGGTCGCTTGGGAGATCCCCAGTTTTATCTCCGTGTTGAGTTGTATTCCTTTCCGCGATTATTTTGTCTCTATTAAAGTTGTTGTTGTTCTTCTATCCTGTGTTACTTCTTACTGTTGCACTTAAGTATATTGTCTTATACTATACTGTTATACCTTGTATATTCTTTAACCTCAGTAGGGCCCTGACCTTCCTCGTCACTACCCGATCGAGGTTAGGCTTGGCACTTACTGAGTACCGTTGTGGTGTACTCATGCCCTTCCTGCGCATGTTTTGCAAGATTTACACCAATTTTTCTACCCCTCCTTTTTGTTTTGTTTTGCTAAGGAGGGATACTTCCAAGATTGTTTTTGTTTTGGAAAATTAGTACTGCGTATAATATTTTAGCTCGCTCTGGAAACTTGATTGCTCTAAGGAGCTCTTTTATCTATAATGATCTTTCTTAATTGATAATATTATGCATCTACTTTAACCAAACAAACTGTATATTTTTAGCTTTTTTATTACCGATAGAGGAACAGAAAGGAAAATGGGGAAGCATTACAAGAAAAATGACTTTATCCGGTTGCCTCAAAAATAGAAAAAGTGACAACAAAATTTTTTAATGACGATCTTAAGGGTCGTTGAGAATAGTTCCGTTACTAAAACTTATTCATGGAAAGGCATTTCGTGAATCCCTCTGATTCTATCTCTTTAATTTCATTTGAAGGAAAGAATGATCCCAAAGAATATCTTTCTTTTTGTTTGTTGAATTTCTCTTTGATTCATCAATGTATAGTATTCTATATCCTCATTAATAATGAATCCAAACGATCTGTCTCTTATCTTTCCTCTCCCATATAAAACAAAATAAAAATAAAATTGTGCCTTATGGTCTTCATGTGCTAAATAGCTTGCATTTGATAAAACAAACTCAATATTTTCCAACATAGAACAAAAGAGAAAAGGAAATGAACTTTTGTTCTTAGAATTGATACATGAATTCAATTGTGATTATTGATCAAATCAACTTCACTATGGAATATATTTGACATGTTATATATAGTATAGTTTTGAATTCCATGCGCCTTTGATGCCCTCATGAAGTCCTGAAAATCATAGAATAATATACTCAGTGGCAGATACAACACATATATTTATAAATATTTGTATATCGTTACTTACTGGACATAGTCGATCTTAATAACGCCAGCGACCGGATTAGCAATGGTTGAGAAGGCTTCTTTAGAGAGATCCAGAGTTCCACCACATCCAGGGCAATGATCAACAATCTTTACCAAAATACTCTTGCCAGTGCAAGGACCAGTGCATGTGACATTGAATGTTTTTCCACATATTGCACCATTATTCCATAGAGGATCACTTGCTGCTGCTATAATGGCACCTTGGGGTGTGTTTCCATAACATGATGAAGCTGCACCAATAATAATAATAAAACCTCAATTCTAAACAATTTCCGAATTAGCTATATCAATTTGTTTATTTTTCTTTTGGTAATATTAAGCAAATAATTAAATGAGACACTTGCGTTGTTGCTCACTTGAATAACATAATTGTTCTTGTTTTGTTTATAAAGTCAAATGGCTCATGTATCATCAATAACCTTTTTATTTTTTATTATTTCATAAAAAGGAATTTGTTAGTAATTTATCATACTATTTTTTCTTATCAATAAAGCTATTTTTTTTAAAAGTTAAATTCATGTGTTGGTGGTGTAAAAATATCAAGCCATATACAGGGTAATAATTGTAGTTAAATATCTCAATAAATATAAATTATGATAACTAACTTGATATTATAAATTAATATTTATTTATAGAGTAAAGAAAATTTACACTACTCGGTGTATGCAACGTAAAATCGCATTTTGTTTGCGTACAAAACTAAAATACTTACGAACATATTGCGTATAAAATGTGGCAATCCCCGGTGTCGCCAAAGCTATAGAAAGCAAAGTAGTCACAACACCAATAATGAGCAAAATAATTTTAGGAATTGCCATTTCTTTTATGAAACTAATTTTTACTTCACTGATATAGTATTTAACCAACAACTATCTTTATATAGTATTTTTTCTAAGTGTCCAATATCTAAAATATGGTAACCAATTAACAGAATTAAGGCAATTCATTTATAATGTATTTCTTGTCTTACTATATACATTTGAATTACAATATTTTCTTATTCCACTTGTGATTGCATGACAATAGTTCTAACGCAATTTTTTAGGTAGGTTAATTATTACATATCACCTGAGATATGGTAAGTTAATAATTTTTTGAATCATAATAAGTTAATAAAGAATGTTTTATCTCTTTAGCCTTGTGCAAACTGTTAAATTTATCCTACCAAAACAATTAAGAGCTATCGTTAGGGAGAAATTCAAAAATAGCCAGATTTACCACTGGTCGTTGAAAAATAGCCAAGTTTTAAAAGTCATCGAAATTTAGCCACTTTAAATCTGAGCGAAAACACTGTTCAAAATCCGGAAAAACACGCCCGCAAATTTTATGGGAGTTCCAGCATAAGTATGTTGGAACTCCCGTAAATTTTACGGGAGTTCCAGGATAACTATGCTGGAACTCCCGCAAATTTTACGGGAGTTCAAGCATAATTATGCTGGAACTCCCGCAAATTTTACGGGAGTTCCAGCAAGTATAATTGTCCAGTATAATATACTGGAGTTTGGAGCACTGGTGCTCCAGTCTCCCGCAAATTTCCAGGAGTTAGCAAAGTATACCAGTCCAGCATAATATGCTGGAGTTCGTACACAAATGCTCCAGAACTCCCGTATATTATATTGGACCGGTCCCTGTTGCAGCAAAATAGTGGTTATTTTTTATTGACTTGGTAAACGCTGGCTATTTTTCATTGACCAGTGTGAAAACTGACTATACCATGATATTTTAACCTATCGTTAGTATGGGTTAAATTGGACTGAATGGCCCTATAATGGACTGGTTTCTAACTATTGTCTTCATTTTTAATTTTATTTAAAAAATAACCTGTGGAGCCTATACATTTATTTATTGTCAAGAATTTCTCCACCGGATAGATATATTTTATTATATACCCTATTTATACTGTTAGTTGTTATAAATTCTATCCGATTGACATGACTTTCTAATTGTTCAATTTTTCACAGAACTCTATCATATCGCATTATTTGTGTTATCTACATTCAATTTATTTGTTAAATTATTTACAAACTCTACCCGATTGACATAATTTTGTGCTTATTCAATTATTCATCAGACTTCACCAGATCGGTGCGACTGATGTATTATTAACATCTACATATTTAATAAATTATTCATCAAAGTCTACCAGTTTGGCATAAATTTTCTATATTGTTCAACAATGTATTCTTCTAATTTACAATTTTAATCGCGATCAAACTAACTTAAATATACTCCAGATGATCTCAAATGTTTAACAAAACCTGTGGATACCAACACAAATGATCCATTTTCACCTATTTAATTGGTCCAATAAGTTTTTATGATGATTTTTTACATGCCCACAATGTTTGGTTAAATTTCGATGAGTATTGAATAAGTTTGGGTTGAATGGTGATTGTTTTCGATTTCGACATCGATTTGAGCATAAAAATGTTACCATATTGAGCAACGACATTTGATTTGTGTTTCGTCTAAGTTATTATATCTGTATCATAATTCTGGAACCATAGCAACTGAAACCATCAAGTTTTGACATCGTATGAGGAATGTATGATCATTTTACTAAGAATTGGGTTGCGAGCTGTTTCAGATTACTTACAAAATTATCACTGAATTTGTGCTTGAAAATCTGCTTTACTCTCAAATATTAAAACCAACATACCTCCATCATTATAAGGTCAAATGGAGTGATTCAAAATCCTAACTTGACTGGAATTTCACGAATAATCCATTGGAGGCATCAAAAGTGAGTTTCAACATCATTTGGAACAAGAAAAGAGGTATAATAGCTAGGCGTTTATGGCTATTGAAGTTGTTGGAGTTTTCCTCATCTTGAAAGTTTGGGATTGGGAGAATTCAAGGATGTTCTTCAAGTTTCTTCCATGGGGTAAGGTCTAAATCATGAACTAAGTATTTTCCTTTGATTTATTCCCTTGGTTTAAGCTTTCATCCATGATTTCAATTGAAAACCCATTTAATTCTTTAAAGCAAGACCTAGCGTTATGTTCTAAATTTTAAACAATTGAAAATGATTTAGAGGCATTTATTTCCCGATTCCTTTTGGAGTTTTGTTCTCCTATATTAGGAGAACAACATACTTGTATTTGGAGAGTTTTGGAGTGTATTTCGGGAGATGTGGGACCCAACTAGTATGGGTTGGACTCTTGGGTTATGAACACCCAAGGGCGATGTTTTATGTAATCGGTTGAGATATGAGAGTCCGATTGATGTTTTTATTTGTGTGAGCTTGTATTTGTTCGGGCTTCGCTCGTGTATGCATGGATTAAGAATCCCAAGCGAGCCCGACATAGACGTTTTGGTTGACTTTCGACTTTTAATTAAAGATTTGATATTTATCAATTAAGTTTGTTTCCTATGGCATTATTTGTTGTTCTTGAGTTGCTTTTTGCTAGTTTTGAGCCGTTCGAAGGTCGGTACGCACATGGCATTTCTAGAGTATTGTTTCGCTTGCTCAGTAATGGATTCATTTTGTTCGAGGTAAATATAACTTCTAAACTTCGTGCTAGGGGTATGAATCCCTGAATATACGTGTTATGTTTTTGGTGTTGAGGTGACGCACATGCTACATGACGTGGGTGCACCGTGTGAATTATGACTCAGTTGATTTTGTGGTACCATGTAGTTACCAAATCCTGTTTGTATCCATGAAATTTCTACGTGCTAGAGTACTTGAGCTATGATCCATGTTAGAAACCATGTTTAGGTTGTATGCTTATTATGTTGGGACCCACTGAAGTCATTTCTACTGTTGAGTTGTTTGCTAAAATTGCAATAACATATTCATTCATTTGCGTTTCATATCTCAGTCTTTGTTATCATTTATTGTTACATCATGTATCATTATTTGGGCTGATTGGCATGCGATTTGTGAGCCCGAAAGACTAGAGAGGTTGATCACTGAGTCGAGACCGACGTTCTGATTGTGAGCGATATTTATGGGATTAGGCTGCACGCCGTAGCAAGCTTTAATAATTCATGATGGGATCGGGTTGCATGCTACAACAGGTCTTATTGATTCATGACGGGGTAGGGATTCGCGCGAAAGCAAACCACGTTGGCCTATATTTGTGCTTGGGCAAGATCTGCCCATACGTAGTCTAACATACCAGCAGTCACTGCAGGTACCGAATTTCGAGCGATTGAGTGTACCGAGTGGTCGAGTGTGAGATAGTGAGATTGAGTACTCTGAGAGTGTGAGTACGTGAGCTCATCACTGTAATGCATTACATTTGACATTCATACTTGGCATGTTGGTGTTACATCCCACAATATTACGTCAATATTATGTCCCGCAGTATTATACTACGACAATGTTATGCTGCAGTAATATATTACGATGATGTTACGTCCTGCAGTAATAAGTTACCACAGTGTTGCGCCCTGCAGTATTTTACGTTGAATTTATCGTAAGGTAATTGACATCAGTCCAAGAAAAAGATTATTTGGAGATTTTAAGGATTGTAAGTGATGAATAAATTCGTGAAGGTAAGAGGGGAAGCAAGTCGAAGAGAATGAATTTCGTTAAAATTTGGTATCTTGGGATAAATTACGGCTCAAGCTAAAATACGCGGTATTCATGGACTAGTACCATACAAGGTACCACATGATCATAATAGTAAGGCGTACAAGGTATGTGAAAAGAGAGTAATATTTTAAGTAAGTGGGAATAATTCTCAAATTTTCAGGTAATTGATTAATTACCGGGTAACGGGACATTACCCGATTAAAGAATAAGTGGATAATATTTTGGATAAGCTTTATAAGAAAAATGAACGTGGCAGCAAGCCCATTTCTTGGACAATGACTCATTAGTCATTTTTCACATGTGTCACATAAGGATTTTGGGTGGCAAAACTTATTCTTTAAGTATGATGTGTTTCCTAAAGTCTAGACGAAGAAAACGTTAAGCTCCACATTTAAGATGGAACAGTATTCTTTTTGAAATGATAATTCCCAAATTCAACAAGTCAATGCCTAAGCATATGGCTATGTCCAACAGATTCTTCACTCCACCATGTAAGAACACCTAGCCAATTGCTAAAGGATCCGTCAATTTGCATCTACATACTTATGCATACAAATACCTAAAGCCAAAATGTCAAAACACTTCAAACTCAACATCAACCATGGATGTTATCATAAGCTCAGCAAAGGCGTCTTTAAGCCTTAAAGATTGAGCACTGTTTGGGCTCCAACAAGGCAACAAATAATAGTGGCTCTTTTTTTTCACGTTTAGCCCTTGGTAATACTAAAGGTTATGGGTGCATATACATATGAGGTACATGGAATGTCCAGGTATGTTAAGGCTATCCCTTCTTTATTTTGGCATGATCAATACAATACGAACGAAACGTGTAAATGCACAAATTCCATATATGACTCTATTCATAGAAGTATTAGAAGTGCCTATGTTCTTGAATTTCCATATGTATTATTATTCCATCGTCTGTTCATGGGTCTCAGAAAGTAAAATAATGTTATGATATTAATCAAATGTATAATGGTCTTATGACGTATTGAGAGATTTTGTTGTTATATTTCATATGCATTTCATGCATTTATACATGTACATTGACCCATGACTCAGACGGCGTTACATACGCGTATATATGTATGTATATATATATATATATATATGGGATATAGAAAAAGGTTACGGCATTACATACGCATATACGGGTATATATTCAAATGGCGTTATATACGCATATATATGTATTCAAACGGCGTTATATACGCGTATATATGTATGTGTATATATGTATATGGGATATGGGAAAGGTTATGGCGTTATATACGC